TTTCCTCTTCTCCACTGAGTGAGAAAACAAGCAATAGCTGTAAAAACAGCTTCCTTCCCTTTTCTCTTTCCTGTCTACTATAACACAGGACATAGCTCACTCTTGTAGGCCTGAATTTGTAGAGAAATTAGGGTATGGGAGTGGGAGCCAAAGAAATATTAGCAGGGAGAATGTTTTTTATATTCTCTATATATTCATCCACTCATTCATTCATTCATTCATTCATTTCATAGATACCTACTGATCTCCTATTTATTGAACACCTTTGTCCGGCCCTGTGCTAGGTGCTGTAGGCACAGGAATTTTCTTGATTTTCTTGGCAGATATAGTCACTGCCCTCATGGAGTTTTTAAACTAGTGAAGAAGAAATACATTAGTAATTGTAAGTTTGACAATTGTTCCAAAAGGCAAAGAACAGTGTATTTTAAGAGATTATAACTTAACAGATCAATGAAAAAAACAAAAAAACAAAAAACTGACAAACTTAGGACCTAGCAACAAACTAGCACAGACTTTTAAGCAAGCAGTAGAAATAATATTCTTCTCCCCTGAAGCCCTCACAGTGATGAGCCTTTGCCACCGGAGCTCGAAGCCTGATGCCAACATGAAGCCCCATGTGTCAGGGTCTCTCTAGCTACAATAAGATACACCCCCTATTCAACTGGCTCAAACTATAAGGAAAATGTTTGTTTTCCACATAATAAAAGCCCTGCGGTAGAGTGGCCCCCAGCACTGTGATAATAGCGTTAAGTTCCCTGGTTCATTTGGTCTTCGGCTTTCAACTTTCAGGGTGTCAGCACCGCCCAAAGCCTGGCACCTGTTATAATTGCAAGGCAACAGCCGTGGTTTCCAGTGCATCTTCAGACACAACAAAAGGCAAATAGATTTTATTTTTGTGCCTTTTTCAAGAATGAAGTTACTTTAGCAAATTTTCTTCCATATTGTGTATGCACTAGAAGACATATAAAGAAAATCAATGTGATAACGTCACCTGCACTAAAAAAAGAGCTGTGCTGTTGTAGAAAGCAAATATTCTTACCATCTCCATGAAGAATGTAAACAAATAATAGACATGTAGCCACTCATACATGAGCTTTCTCAGCTCCAAACTGCTGTGAAGGATAGACTAAATTCTTCTATCCTGATAATGCAATATAATAAACATATAATTTTTGTTGCAAACCAGAGTATGTGTACAGAACACTTGGGTTCCAGTGCAGTCTTTTTAAGCACTGTCCTTTGACCCCTAAGAGAGGAGAAAACATAAGTGGGGGAGAAAAACAAACTATGATGTAAGGAATAATGTAATACATAGGAAGGGAACAGGGATTTTCCAAGGGAGAACGAAAGACAAGGAAAATAAATAAATTAAATAAATAAATAAGAGAGAGAGAGAGAGAGAGAGAGACAGAGAGAAAGAGAGAGAGAGAGAGAGAGAGAGAGAGAGAGAGAGAGAAATTTAAGGAAAAAAACATTTAAGCCTGGACCTTGAGAAATGGATAAAATTGTAGTAGAAGAAATTGAGAAAGGCCACGTCAGCTGTTGGAAAGCATAGGTATCCTTAGATGATGGACAGCACATTGGATTAGTTGGAGAATGATGGCCTTAAAAAGAAGTACTAAGAGAAAGCTGAAAAGATAGATTGAGATCACATAATAGAAGATTTTGATGCCATATTAACTAGTTTGGACTTTTTTTCTATAATTTTATAGCGAGTCACTGGTTAAGGAGCTATTTGATAAGAATGTATGTGTTGGGAAACATTTCATATACACACAGTTCGTAGGAAAGCTTTCTTGAGGGGAGGGATTGGTTGCACAGATGGTAATTATGAGAAATTGCAGTACACATAAAAGATCATTAGTGTATAAACTAAACTAATGGCAATAGGATACAAAGAGGTATATGAAACTCTTTCTTGTAGTGAAAGAGGTCAGCATTTGTTTAGACATGGGGTGTGGAAGAGAAAATATAAGATTTCCCATTGAACAATTGAAAAAAGGGTACAGTATCATTATTGAGGATAGCAAAGCAAGGAGGAATAACCAGGTAGGGGAATAGAAAATATGAGTTTAATTTAGGGTCAATGAAATAGGCATTTCTTTCTTTGTTTTTTGGGGGTTTTTTTTCCATATTACTTTTTTTTTTTAATTAGTTTCAGGTGTACAAAGCAATAGTTAGACATTGGAGGAGCTGGGGATGGGGGAGAAGGTGAAGGGATTAGAAAGTGCAAATTAGTAGTCATAACATAGTCATGAGGATATGAAATACAGCATGGGGAATATAATCAATAATGTTGTAAAGATTATGTAGGGTGCCAGATGGGTACTGGACTTTTCAGGGGGATCACTTCATAGACTGTGTAGATGCCTGACACAGGTGTTTCAATGATAATTTTTAGAAGAAAAATCTTGAGCCAAGCTACATTGATCTCCTATTAGAAATATATGTAACTTTAATAAATATTATTAAATGAAAACATATATACTAACATAGTAGAACCCACCCAAAAGTTAATTTTATTTAGTGATACAAGGTTACAGTATACGAGAAAGTAGTTTGGTTTTCATGAACACTGGCATAAACTGAGTCTTCGGAAATTTAGTGATTTGTCTAAATGTCTATATAGGTGTCACTTTTACAGAGACTCTACTCACAAACACTGAACGCTTTACTTTAGTGCGCTCTTTCAGAAGCTGTACTAATTAGAAGCTGTAATGATATAGACACCTTGGAAGACTGGGCCACATCTTCCCAGAAGTGGTAGTTGAAGCTTGAGTCCCCTATTGGATCTCTAGGAGAACTTCAAAGAAATATTGTTGGTTCTTTTCCTACAAAGATTTTGTTTTTTCTCAGGATTTGTGCATACGTGGCCCTTGTTGGCTCTTGCCACCTTTCTCATTCATGTCTTTCTGTCAAAAGGCTGTAACTAGTTCCCATATATTACTGCTTCCTCTTTGGACATTTGCATTTTAATAACACTCTCTGTGAATAATCAAGATGAATGCAAGACCTAATGGACTAGATAGCTAATGAAATAGTTTTCTTATAATGAGGATTTTTTTTTTTGACGGGAGGGGAGCAAGAGAGCATTTGTGATATACTTGAAAACGCATCTTCTAAGTAACTAGATATTATGTAAGTTTATAATTGCAGCCTTAATGCCTAGTTAGAAATCATAAAATTTCCTGGATTTTGTAATGTTCTGTACTCCAGTGACCCAGTTCAATGCAGAAGTTCCATCTATAAATTCCTCCACAAATAATAACTAACCATCATTAGAACACTTTCCTAAGAATCTCACTTTTTCACAAGGTAAACAATTCAAACATTTTTTTCTTTAATTAAGAAAAATATCTTAAATGTAAAAGCACTAGTCCTGTACGCTGGAAATAATGCCTGTTCTGCATACCAGCTATTCATATAAAAAAGAAAGGCATTTATTTCACATGCTCCTCACAGTACCACTTCCCTAGACATTCATCTTCTAGACCAAGCGCCTCTGGTTTCTTTGATAGGTTCTCGAGATACTTTCCAGACGTCTTACCATCACGTTCCCCTGTCAAAATACACCCAGCATTGTTTATGTTTCTCTTACGTTGTATCTTCAGAATGAACAGCATTCCAGGTATGGTCTGGCAAGTATGACATAGAGCGTCCCATTACTTCCCTTTATCTTGATACTGCTCTCTTGTTAATACAGTTGAAGTTACGTTAGCTTTACTGGTAGCCATCACATTTTCTGATACTATTGTATTTGCACTCAGATAAAAATCTAAAAATCTTTAGTTTTCCTTTATGTGCATTAGTGTTATGTCATAGCTCCCATATTCTTTTATTTATTCAGTTAATAATTTTAACCTAAAATCCCAAATTTAACACCGTGTGTGTGTGGGTGTGGGTGTGGGTGTGGGTGTGGGTGTATAGTTTTTTGCTTCTAACCTGTTAATAGAGAAGATAAAAGAATACTAACGTACAATAGTTCTCTGTTATTAATCTATTAGGAATGTACCATCTTTCATAAGCAGAAGGTAAATATATTCTTTCCACTTCTTGCTGTTCTAAGCTTAACTTTAAGAGTCTTTTTGTAGTGTTATCCTTAGTATTTTACAAGTCTCATTTTTTTTTTGGCCTTTCATGTTTCTGACTTTATTCTTATACCTTTAAACGACATTGTAGTTCAGCATTATAGAAATATTTCAGATATGGAAAGTATAAGAACATTAGGATTTTTATGCTGTATTTTCTGACTTTCCCAAAGAATTCTATGCCACTGGAATTTCCAACTACCAAGCCAGTGAATTGAATACAGATGTTCACTGTGAAGAATCCACAGTGGCAAGATTGGAGGTATTAATCAAGTCAAGAAATTCATCAAATTTTTAATTCCCTGGAAAGTAGGATTTGGTGCCAGAACAAATTTAAAGTTTCTAAAGAAGTCATTTGAACTTCCTCTGTCACTGTGAAATATAAGTCTGCAATAGGTAACATGTCTGAATTCTTGAGCAGTTCCACTTTTTGAACTTGGATATCAAATAGCAAGACATCAACTTTCACTCAAATCTGTGGAGAATCGGTGGTGACTGTATTCCTAAGAAACCATTGTAAGGGGAGCTATTTTGGAAGTCATGCCAGGCGAGGTAGAAGAAACACATTAAGGATGCTTTAAACTACCACTTGGAAACAAGATGATACATTTGGAAAACTAAGAGGGACTTTTGATTTGTATCACTAAGGTTTTGAAAGTGGTCTTCATGATAACTGCTGAAGGACATAATATTATTTCTGCCAAAAGGAGCCTACAGCTGTATTCTAGAAAATAGCGGCAGCAACAATTCTTTGCCTGTACACTGTGTCACACTGGTCTTTTTTTTTTTATAGGTGTAAATCTTCAGTGTAATCATCAGCAGCATTCTTTAATACAATAGATAGCAATGTGGGTGGTGCAGAGCTGAGACCTAAATATAATGGGTAAGTAGGCTGGTTGACAGTTTCATGCTTAGGAAGGTAATATACATTTTCCCGATGTGTTATATTTGCTTATGACTTCACATCGCTTAGCTGTAGAGAAAGAAACATAATGTCCTTTATATTATCAGAAACATTATTATATTTATTTTCTCACATTTCTTTACTTAGAACATTGTTAAATCAGCATTGAATGAGGAGGAAAACTGCTAAGCCCCCAAGGGCAAATTGCTCTTTCTAATCTATTCTGAATAACACAAGTGATGATGCTGCATTTTGAGTGATGTGCGGGAGAGGGTAGGTGTTACAGAACCTCTTTTGAGACCCTTCAGTCTGCTAGCCTTCTTCTTTAAGTATCTAGTTTAATATTTCTGGCTGCCCTAGAAGGTAGGTTGTGTTAGCCGCATATAACAACAGATCAGTAAACTGAGGCCTTTAAGTCACTACCTACCTTTCCTCCAGCACACAGCCGGTAAAGGTTGAGCAGTGTGTTGCAAAGCTCATGTTCTTTCTATAGCATGGCGTCTCTTTCCGTCTGTTCCCAGCTTCTGTTCATGGGTACCGCCGTGTGGATGGTGATGGTAGCAGTAGGAGTATCACCAATGATTTAGTTCCATGATGTTCAAAAGGATTTTGATATAATTCTGGGGAAATAAGTAGAATGAGAAAATTGTATGCAGAATCGTAGCGCCAGCAGGCTTTTCTCTCAGCAACTAACTTTCCTCAGCACCCCACCATCATTCCCCAGAAATTCTTCTCCAGAAATTCTTCCTTCTGACCCCTGGCACCATCCTCCTCAGGAAAAAAAGTAAAGTGGATACACTCAGGTCAATTATATTGTGATTTCTCTATATTCTAGAGTAAAATATAAATATGTCATGGTCTGTGTTCAAAGTTAAACTCTTCTGATGCATCATATCCTTGTAAGTTGACTATATACTATTGAAAGTGAGCATTAAGACCTCACAGCTTATTTATAAGGTGTGTGTCTTAGTATACACACATTCATGTTCTGAGACCATAAACAACACTCAAATCAAATGGTTCTAAATAGTTTGTCAGCATGCTGTTAAGGTGGGGGTGGAAATAATAGTGTAATAGCAGCCCCCTTTCCAAATGGTGTTTCAAACTGTTCCAATGTTGAAATGGTAGGAGGAGTGATCATAAAGTGTGGCTGGTGAGGAATATGTGAATCCAGGCTAAAAATATTTAAAGCTAAGGGAGCAGATGAGTAAATAGTTGGATTTGACCTGAGATCTTTGAAATACTTTCATTAAACTGCCGCAAGACGTACATTTTAAAATGTAAATTCAGACTCTGACATTTGCAACCTGTACACAGGGTTTTTAATGAGCAAATAAGGTCACTCGGATGACTCACTGGAGTGTGATGGCTGAAGGCAGAGATGTTGCTGGGAGTTGCTTAATTTACAGAAGTCTTTGAAGCTTGGTTATGCAATGCCGTGTTTATTAGAATCTATGCTTTATGCAACAAATGAAAACAAAGGACTTAATTTAGGATTAGCTAAATGACACATTCTATCAAAATTTTATATATGAAGATTAATTTCTGGACTAAAAAAGTAGAGCATCTCAATTTAACTTTCTAGTTTTCCTGGGTATAGATGTTTTGGTTAAAAAAAATTTAAAATACAGGGTTTTCTGAAAAGATCTATAACAGTGACTTTCAACAGATGTAAGCATGTTTCTTTTTTCTTGTGAGTGTGCAAGTGTGTGTGTACATGTGCTTTTTCTCTGTGCTGCAATTTAATGATGGTGTTCTTTATGTGAACAGACTGTTAATCCTACTAACACTTCTGTATTTCATATAGGTCCTCCTTTTGATTCTATAGCATCAAAATGATGTACACCCATCACCCAGGTTAGCCTTCTTTAGTTTCAAGATGATAGTAATACTTGGAAACAATACCCAGTGGTCCTTCTGATCATTTTTCTTTGTTAAACACTGTTCAACAATTCCTGCGATTTAATGATAATGACAGATACATCCTCCCACCTCCACTGGCAATAAAAAGCCTATGATTTAGTGTCATTTTTCTATCCAGGAATTTGAGTTGAATCACAAAGTAAAAAAAAATAGTTTGCATGATTAAAATATTGCAACTGCTCTAACACTTTCAGATTGGCTTAATATATACCCATAAGACTACAGACCATAATGAATAAGCCCTTACTTATACAGAAAAACTTTTAAGATTTTTGTGAGATATTTCCTGATTGCTTTTTTGTTTCGTATTGTCTTGTTTGTTTTTGAATAGCTGAATGTTCTTCAGTGTCTCAGTGCTCTGAGATATTCAACAGCATTTCTGGTTGTTTTTGTTTGTTTGTTTGTTTCATAGCTGAGTTGCTCAGTGATAGTCTCCTTTAGTTACAGTAATTCACCTAACAGTAGCTCAGTTAAGATTTCTGTTCTGTATTGTCCTTCTGTGTGAAAAAGAAATCAGAAACAGTATTATAACCTTTTAAAGCAGTACACACTCAAATTACAATTGTATCACTAATTAGGGGTGGGGGGGGGACATTTGTGCCTAGAATGATCATTTTTCCCAATTTGTAAAAAGACGTACTATTAAATTATATGGAAATTGACTTCAAGATACATAGTAAGACTGAGTGTTACAGGCATATTAACAATTATATTTTTAGTTGGAATATATTAGGTACTCACAATGTAAAGCTAAAATTTTGATTGATGGATGGGTGGGTGGATGGATGGATGAATGGATGGATGGATGGATGGAAGGATGGAAGGGTAGATGATGGATAGGCGGATATATGGATAATTATGAAGGGATGGGCAGACAGTCGGATGGATGGATGGATAGGTGGATGGGTAGATGATGGATNATCTAGGCCATCCATGAAGTGGCCTCCCTAGTAAGACAAATGTCCATCTGACACCCTACAAAATCTTTACAACATTATTGATTGTATTCCCCAAACTGTCTTTCCTGCCCCCATGGCAATCTTGTGGCTACCAAATTGTGCTTTCTAATCCCCTCCCCTTCTATCTCATCCCCAAATAGTCTCAGAGATATTTGTTTTTTAATGCAGGTAATGAATTTGGGCACCCTGAATGGTTAGACTTCCCAAGAAAAGGAAATAATGAAAGTTACCATTATGCCAGAAGGCAGTTTCATTTAACTGATGATGACCTTCTTCGCTACAAGTTTCTAAATAACTTTGACAGGGATATGAATAAATTGGAAGAAAGATTCAATTGGCTTTCAGCTCCACAGGTAAGCTGTGTACTCTAAATGTTATGTTTTAGTCATCAGTGTTGTACATGCTTAGAAAGGCAATCAATTGAAATCTATAAGCAGGTGTTTTAAACAGCACTTTATTATTCAGTGTGGGCCCGGTAACACACTTCAGGTTGTCAAAACATGTTATTGAAGTCTCTCCAATAGATAATGAAAATCCTAAACATAGTGCCCTGCTTGCTTTCCTGTTTCGTTTGTTGTTGTTTAAATTTAGTAATTTTTATTTCAATTGGTTAAAATAAATGACAGAACCTCTGCATGGAATCCATTTTGGAAATTGCTATGGAAACATCTTAATTGTTTTGGCGTTTTTTCTTTATATAAATGATGGTGTCATAAAAAAATTACTTTGACAACATGTAGATTTCTTTATTCCTCTTTTTTCCTTCCTTTACTGGGCTCTAACTTGTCATTTCAATAGATGCCATTATACGTGCACGCTGTTTTGTATTTTTCATGAGCCTCACTCTCCACCAGAATTAAAGTCTCAGTTTTCAATAAGTTTTCGAAAATGTAATTAACAGGTGCAAATTTTATACAGGATTTTTTTTTCTCCCTTGCAAAAATTAGCATATAGTGTATGTTACTTATAATCCATTTACTTCTTACTGATGCTGTTTGAAATTACTGTTGATGTGTTTTTACTTTGGTGTCCATGGTTTTTTTGGGTTTTTTTATGGTTAAACAAAAGGACTTATACATTCAGTAAGATTGGATACATGACATGAATGCCCTACTCACGTTTATTAGTAATGCTATTTCCAGAAGAGCGAGCAAAATGATGCTCCTTTTCGATAGGAATGATGTTGAATACCAAAAGGCATGCTGTTTACTCTAGAGCCTTAGTTCATATTTCTAAATTACCAAGAGTGGTGCAGCTAATATGCATGGAAATAAGTCCTCTCAATGCTGGGAGTGGAAGATGATGATGTTGAAAAGAAAGCCTTCTCACTGCCTACTGTAAAACATCGTGTATAAAATAAAAGAATTTTGTAGATGGTGTAATTTCTTTCCAGACCTCCTCTTTTATTAGGCAAAATATGTATCATAAAGGACTTTAGGTTGCCCTTGAGTCTGACAAAGTTATACAATAATGCAAAGTTTTTAAGGCAACTACAGCTGCAGAAATCTCAATATAATAATAATGTTCCATTACATTTTGAAAAGGAATTTTATGCACCTTACCTCATTAATCTGGGAACATAAATTGTCTTAAAGAAAATTCACTTTTAAGTAGATCTAATACACACACACACACACACACACACACACACTTTATATATAGCACAGGTGCCATGTTAGTTCTTAAAACCTGAGCCACACCACTAATCACCTGTCTATGCTTTGCTTGAAGTTGGCAGTGGCTAGTGAGATTTTTATACTCTCT